TAGGCCTAGCTAGGTATTCAGTAATTTCATTTTACAGTAGTTTGGAATGATATCAGGAGTAGGGGTGGTGGCAGTGGCCTACTAGGACTACAATTTATTTGAAGCTATCTTGGGTCCGATCGTCCAAACCAGTTGGGCCCATTCGTCTGTACCCGAAGTTTTCATTACGATGATCAAGAACGTATACTATCTAGGCCCTAGGCTAGGCTTAGATTGCTGCCGTCACTCCGTCTACTACTACCGCATAACAAAGAGAAAGCGACCCACGCGGTGCATTCTAAAATTTACACTTATTATTTAAATGTATTAGACGATAACACGATATCACTGACTGAACGATCTACCACCCTCGCATCGCAGTAACTACTGTACTGAACTAGGCTTAGCTTAGGCTTGATGTCTTTGTGGAAAGTTAGATAGTTGTTATGTACCCGACAGTCGGCTGCCTTTATATCTTCACTTGTCTTCAATAATTTGCATTCAAAGGGTACATTGCTGCATAGCCAACTGTCAGGGATATAGGACCTTCATATGACTACTCATACAACAGAAAAAAACGTCGCATGGAGTTAGTGAAGAATGGAGATCTAAATGAAAAAACGATGTATTTCAGCAAGTATTAAAACCTTTGTTTTATTTTAGGCCTTCTTCAAAATGCCTATGCCACAGCAGTTGATTTTTTTTTTGCCGTAAAACCAAAATAGTTTCATCCATGCCGACTTGCCGATCGGTTAGCGTGAGCCCTGACTGAACTCTGCAGAAACTTCACATCGATCTTCGCATCGCGAGGTAAAACAAAATGTCGGAAAACTTTTCTTTGACGCATGCGCATTTGCATAAATGTCTACACACACACGCATACACATACGACACACAATAAAAAACAAAGGAAAAACAGTGAGAGTGATTACAATAGTTCCTATTGCATTACATGCATAGGGACTAAAAATTATCAGATGAAAAGATCCTGGATCTCGTCATCTGAACATCTGGAAGGTCACTTTAGGCTTCCGTATAACAAGCATTACAACCTGCACATACAAATTTGTAAACGACACGCGAACGACACAAAAAAGAAATAACAGTATGGTGGGAAACTAAGGACAAGGAAAATCATTTCAGATGTGATTATATATAATATATATATATATATATATATATATATACATATTATATTATTGATATTATTTGAATGTTTTGACATACATATGATGGCATTAATTGCGTCAAAGCAGGAAGATCTTTTTTTATAAACAAGACATGAACCGTTTCGTATCCTTTGAATTACTTCAAGGTTATTTTCTTCACTCAGTAAAGATAGTCCGTACCACGGTGCTACGCTCTAGAAAATTACTTTTGAAAATATTTTTCCAAAGCAATTGTAATGTCAACACTTACGTTATTGTTTGATTCTTTAAAGTTGTGACTATTTTGTACACCACGATTTGAATGACGTTGTGTGAGTATACTTCATCAATACGTTTTAATTTCACATCGGTGAAAATAGTGCAGATGATTGTTCTGTGACGTCAGTATTGTTTGTAAGTTTCAATAACCACGTCTAGTTTCTTAACATGTACAACCGCAATCTACATCTTTTCTGATCCGCTTCACTGCCAGACCGCAAGAGGATTGATTTCCAAATCTTTTCCAACAAGTCATGAAACAGTTTAGTATTATTTGAATAAATTCAAGGCTATTTCCTTCATTTAGGTATACATTTACATAAGCTTCGAACCACAGTACGATGCACTACAATACTTTCGGAACATACTTTAAAGTTTGTTCAACTATTTTGTACACGATTTTGAATGACTTCATGAATAGGTTTTAAATTTACTTCACTACAAAGAACAGAAATGTTCTCAATAGGTCTAACCTGGCTCTGTGATCATTCTACTATTTTATAACTATACTATTTGTTTATTCTGAAATCACATACATAGCATACGTATTATTTTATCTGATAGTTTTCATTTATCTACTTTGGGCCCTGAATTTTGTGTAGTGAATACATTTTTTGGAAGCGAAGTATGGCTGCTGCTTGAAAGTTAGTGAATTTATATACGTTTCTTCATAAAATTACAAAATGTTAGGGTTTAGAGTTGAAATATTGAACCCAAACTTACAAAATAGTAAGATTAAAGGTAATACTTTATATTTATGACATAATCACATTTTCATCAGATTACATGTTATACTGTCTATTTGGCCCTTTTTCTCGAAACCTGGTGATGCGAGTTTACAGCCCTTTCATGGTCTTGGGTCACATATTACCGCAAATTTGTATTTGGTACGATAACATGGTAGCCTAGGTTTGAAAAATACTGTATTCAAAGATGACACAATAGCATTGCTTAACAAAACAACCTAACATTCTCTCTAGAAAACACAAACCATTCGAGAGAG